AGACACTTTGTGGTCTGTTCAATCTGTCTACAAAGCTTATTGCTTTGCCAAGGAGGGTGCATTTGAGGACCCCTTGAGACTTACAAGGTTTTGTTTCATAAGGAACTGTTTGTATATTACCACGCACACTTGCACATTAAGTATGGCGATCAATGAAAAGCGTTACACTAACTTTAAAAAGGAAAGAATTGTATCATATACCAAGAAGGTATTGTTTGTGTTTAACCACATATTGTATGATCATTTGCCAAGAACGTCACATTGATTCTTAGCCCTCAAATATGAAATCTAACGGTTTGAGGTGTGTCACAAAATTCAAGAAAAAATCTTTTGAAACCTTGAGTCATGTCAATAATACACTACAAGAGTGTAATGTTTACAAGTGATTGTGATCTCCTTGTACCCAAATAAATAATATGCCAAAAATTAATTAAAGGAAATATATACAATGAGACCATTTACTTTTAATACAACAAGGTCACAGTCACTCTTGTCAATCAGATTTTAAATTGAGTGGTTATGGGTGTGTAATTGACTAAACTCAAACTATAAAAAGATATTTCTTGAACTTTATGTCACACCACAAACCATCTAATTAAACATCTAATGGTTATTAACAATTGTGACCTACTTGTATCAAAGATAAATGGTCTCATAGTATATAATCCCTTAATTAAATAGTTTTAAATTATTAACATGAAAGAAAAGACCATTAAAAAAAACAATGAAAGAAAGGGATGTCAAATAAGGGATCATATACTATGAGACCATTTACTTTTGTTACAAAGAAGTCAGAATTACTCCTAACCATTAAATACAAAATTGGATTGGTTGGGGTGTGTCATGAAATTCAAAAAAAAATTATTTGTATATTTACAACTACCTAATTTAAAATATAATGAATAAGAGTAATTTGTGACTTTATATTAAAAGTAAATGATCTCGCTCTGTATTTTTTACTATCAAATAAAGGTATAGGTGGTTTGGAAGCTTAGAGGTAGTTTGGAAGCTTATTTCCTCTACGCAATCTATATTATGAAATCATTTATCTTTATTGTAAGTAAGTCATAATTATTTTTTAACTATTAAATGTCAAATAGGATGTTTAGGATGTATCACGAAGTTCGAAAAAAAAGTTATTTTTAAAAAAAATTATAGATATCACTCTGAAATGGATTTTGTAGACATCCAACCTCCTAATACTTTTCATATCACATCTTTAACCCAATTATTGTTTTTTTTAACTTTTACCCCCAGTCAAAAAGTTAATATGTTAAAGATTAAACTACCTCTTCAATCCTCTCTTATCTTTTAATATTCTCTCCCTCTCATGCTCTCTATCTCTCTCCTCATCTAAAATCGGTTTCTCTCTCTCTCTCTAGGAAAGTGCGGTCTGGCACATAAGTGTGCTTGACCGATAATAAGGCTTCTTGTATTTGAATCCAGATTCAGGCCCAACACACTTTTGTGCCGAACCGTTAGGTCATCTTTCATTCTAGCACAAAAATGTGTCGAACTGACTTTAGGATTCGAATTCCAGAAGCCTCACTACCGGTCTGGCATATTTTTGTGACATACCGTATTTTTTCATTGTTTTTGCCATGATTCGGTAAGAAATGTGCCGGATCGAAAGAACATGGCAAAAAAATGTGGTGGACTGGCTTGTAGCTTCTGATGACCAGTCGGGCACACGTTTCTGTCAAATTGAATTTTTGGCCATGTTCTTCCAATCCGGCACTTGTTTTGCTATGCCTATGCCAAACCGTATTTTTGGGCAAATCCTGTCGATCTAGCAAAATTTGTGCCGAATTGATTCCAATTTTTGCTTCGAGCGGCGTGCCATGTGAATTGACGAAAAATGTGAGTGTATGTGTACTAAAAACGGTAGTTTCATCATAAAAAATACAATTTTATGACTTAGGGGATAAAAGCAAAGAAAAACAATAATTAAATCAAGAATATGATATTAAAAGTATTGGGGAGAGTATGTCTACAAAATATATTTAATAAAATATTGATTTTTTTTTTTTTTTGGACCTTTAATCTATAACACTCTTACAAGTAGTCGATTTGAGATCTGACTTACAAGATTAATTTTGATCTCTCTATGCCAAAAGTTGAATGGTCTATGCACGTCCTTTTCCTTTTCTTCATTCTAAAAGTAGAACATTTCACCCACCCTAATTTGTCAACCAAAAAACCAAGTGACATATTCCTAGCAAAATACCTTAACTGGAAACCAATCAAGTAAAGCAAAACTCCTTTGTAACGTAATAAAACAGTCATAATTCCCCGTGTCTAACGAGAAAATGAAGAAGCTACGTGCACTCGTCCGTTATCAAACAAAAATATATCTTCCATTTCCATTTCAAAGAAAAAGTTCAAGAAAAAAATTCGAAAGTGGGCCCACATAAGCAAGAAGGACTGGCAAATGATTGGTGACGTCATTAATCACGAAATATTAAACCTAATTTTTATTTAATTAATATCCAGAAATTTTTTATCATCTCTAATCATGAAAGGTCCAAAATAAAACAAATAAAAAGTTTCAGAAAGACAAAAAAAAGGACAGCTACATATTCGCTTCCTTGGTAAGAAGGCCAATAATTTGCCACATGGACTCCAAAAAGCACACCTTGAAGGATATATGCCACGATTTGTTCGAGATATTTCGAGAGTACCCTAAAAATATCCATGTCTTGAAGGACAAAAATGCCCCTAAGATCTTGTACACCCTAAAATTTCTTAGTAGCTTATTTTTCCAATTAATAAAGGGTCATTTGACATGATCATTGTGATAATGAACTTATGACCGTCCAATTGATGGATCGGAAGGCGATGGAGCGGAGTTGGTCTCCCTGTAGTGAATTTTATGCTCAACCCAAATGATTGCAGGTGATAAACTACATGGACATGGCTGTTATTGTGTACATATGGATCATACATTATATTTATTCAATAAGATTAAGATGAGGCAAAATTTAGGATGATTCATGTGATCATAGAACTAGAGTTACATGTGTTATCGCCATCAAAATGATGGATGGATGGTGATGGTAAAATGGAAAGTGAATTATGACCCACCAAGAGTACAAAGTGCCTCGATTGGTAGGTACCCTTCACTCTTAAAGAACCATCCATCTATTGATGGATGGTGATGACAATCATTGGTTTTCCTATAATAACATGGATTCTTTACTATTGGGTGTGATTTGCATAAGAATGTGGCCCTAAATAGCGCACTTTCAAAAAGTATTGAAAGATGTTGTTTCAGTACTGAAAATATTTGTAATAGCCTGGAATTTTATTTTCATTTCTAATTATAAAATTTAAGACTTCAAAAATAGTATTGATCAGATTAATGAACAGCTGAAAATCTTGAAAATTGACTGTCCAGAAAATACATTACAAGATGCACTATTTATAAGACTTGGAATCCATTCTTTCTCATGTCCGTACATCTTCAAGTAGAGACCATTGATTTGAGGAATTTTGCACATCAAAACGACCTCTTCTTGTGAATTTTTGAAGTGCACGTTGCTTGTTTAGAGCCTCATCCTTATGTAAACTCTCTTTTTTTGTAGTATTTGTCCTTGTTATCTGTTAATTAATTATCAATGTTTAAAAATCTCTAATCCGGATTAAGAATTAGCAATTTGGCCCAATGTTGTTAAAGAACAAGGCGGCTCTATTAAAGGCTTTCCTGATTCATTTTGAAATATTTTTTATTTTTGAAAAGTCTAAAATAATGTTTTAACACCAGAAGAATTGCCGATGACATTCGATCATGAACGCCTGATTAATCCATCCGATCAGGGTTATCAAATACTGTTAATTTTTAATTATATTACGTTGTCCACTAGTCTCATCCCCCAAAATTTCTCATTCCTTTTTCTGCATTTTTATATGCAATAGGTTGGAAAATGTTCTCATAATAAGAGGCCCCTGACCACCAGGTTCAGTCGGACTATCGGTAATCCAGAACGGAGGGTAAAACCCTTGGGGGATGTTTTCGTCTTTTATGGAATCATCAAGGGTAGTATCCTACAGATCTACCGTACTGGAATTTTAAGGAGTTGTTCCCCATTTTCCACAGTCGGATATCAGCCACGCTTCCTGAGAAAAAATCTCGAATCCTGGAATCTTTCTCTCTCCTCTGTCCTCTCTCTCTCCTCTTTTATCGCTCCTCTTTCCTCTCTCCTCTCTCCCT